ATGGCTAGTGCAGATAGCCGTCGTGTAGCTTTGTGCGAAATTCAAAAACAAACAAAACAATTTATTTAGATTGAGTAATACATATGCCATCTTACCCCCAATTGTTGTTCTCTTACAGTCCATTTTCCAAATAACCAAGTCAGTTACAGCAGATGCTTAATTCCTATACATTAACTGTGTTCGTATAGTAAGTTGTTACATAATATTTTCTTTCCATCATAGAAAGACTAGAAATGAGCATAATTTTGTTTAACTTACCGGTGTACTGCCAAATCTTACCCCTTTCCAATGTACTGCACATGTGTGTTATGTAAATGAGACTTAATTTAAGCATTTGGTGTCATAAAAGGACAACATAGACCTACACCAATTCTTAAGAAGCATGTTATCTCTTCTTCACTTCCTGTTGATAGATTTCTATTTCTTTTTTATTTTATTCAGAGTCACAACTATTTTTTTCTTTTTTACTCACAACAACAAGCCATCTATTTAATTGTATCATCCACCTCTCTCTGCTTAACTTAACAATAAAACAAAGTAAATTCAAAACAGCACAGAAGGATATGATGCCATACATATACTCCGTGTCTCGTGATGGTAAGGTGTGAAACTGTTCTTTAACTCTTTCAATGCCATGTCAGTTTGGAATTTTGTACAGTCACAAAAAATGGATATCTTCTTCAACCTTCCCCAAATTTACCATTTCCAACTTTCATATAAGTAATTAAATAATAAAACATCTCTTTTTTTCTGGAGGTTTGAGAAGTTAGGCCTCATTTCCTAAAATAAAAATGATCAATTTTTTTTTGTCATAGATGCTTAAAAAACAAGCTAAAATTTCATGGAATAAGAAATTAAAGCAATTACATGAGAGATTAAGCTGTTGTTCATGAATATGCCAAAAATTAGAAATTCATACATGTAATACATTAGTAGATGCAAACTTACTCTTTCACTGCATGTTTGTAGATAAATAACTCCCAGTGCCAATTTTATTTACATACACAATAAAATAAATACATTAATCATTACTTTAGAACAAATTTACAAAATATTGACAAAGAAAGTAAAATAAATATACAATTAAATAAAAAAACAAGAATTACTTTTCTATACTTTTTACTGAAATAAGATCACAATACACACAAAAGTCAATACCTCATCACTATGAGGTTTATTGTAAAAGTATTTATGAACACGTCCTTTTAAAAAACAAATATCGTTATACATCTATTGATTTTAAAAGCACTTTTCATTCCCTTGTCTTTTGTGTTATACTTTTATAAAGAGATTTAATCATGGTTCAACCTCTCAATCTCATCAACATCTTCGGCATCCAACTTTACTATTTTTCGCCCTAAAAAAAAAAAAGCAGATTACAAACAAAACTTACAACAATCTCATGTCTTCAGTAACTTTCCAACAGTCGAGAATAACTTTGTGGGTACTTTAATCTTTTCTTTTAGCAAAATGAAAAACACCTTAAAAGTCTTAATTTAAGTGTTTCTGGAGCTGTTATTAATCTTAACTTGTTCTTTAAATCTTTATACCTATAGTATATTCTGTATTCTAATAAACTGATTCTCTAAATGGTGTATCTGACAAAAATTTATTCCATATGGTGAATTTCCAACAGCCTCGACTTAGCTTTGAGACAGCATATCTAAAAAGTATTTGTCAGTAACTCTCCCCAGCAAAATTATCTGCAAGAAGAGCAGGATGAGTGATGTTGTAGCAGGACATTTGTCAACATGAAATTAAAGTATATAGTTTCACATGAATACAATGCAGCTAATATAATAATCTGTTGTTCTAAGCTTTTCCACTGTCACTTTCAACATTCTCTTTTTATGATGTGTCCAGTGTATGGTCATCCTTATTCTTTCCAGAATTATAACATCCCTCTCTTTCTAGCATGAAGTTCTACCTACATGCGCATACTTCATTAGAATCTACTGAACTGGTATTGTTTGAAATGTCATTTTTACAGGAGGTAAGTGGATAAATGCAGAAAAAGAGAGAATGTGTGTTATTCTTAAAGTGGATAATTTGATAAATGGAAAATAAGAGGGAACGTGTCCACCTAAAGGATGAAAATTTCAAATATGTTACTGTATCCCTGGATGTTCAGTGGCTATAATTTCCAGTTTATAGAGAATAAAGGTTCAAAAATTAACATAAAAGAAGCACGAAACACAGATGTAACTAATAATACATGAATCAAGTGCATTACAAGATTATGCACACAGATAAAGAAATTACTATTTAATTCTTTATTATAGGTTTAATTTACCTGAAAAAAAGAATGACGACAATAAGTAAATGTACAAAGGGTTGGTACGCTGATATTGGAGATGGAATGTTGACTATAATTCTGAATATATTAAGTGTATCTACGTGAAACATGGCAAGCTTTTAGTCAAATGCACAAGTCTATTGTACATAACATTCATTCGTGAATTGCCCACATCAGTCTGACTAAAACTCTGACAATTCAGAGTGCAAGATGATGTTCATGTGAAAAATAAAAATACATTTTCCACTGTCAATTTGCATATTGCATTTTCATAACCTCTAGAACCTCTGAAATGCACATCGACAGTTTTTCTGTACATTGTATCAGGTATTTACTGTTCTCTACCACGAACTGCCACTAAATCAGCAGTGCAGGATAAAATGAATAGTTGACATAGTCTGACATCAAATAGATAATGCCACACCAAATGGAACTCTAAACATATTGTGGCATGCATAGTCTTACACCCACCCATTTACATAGTGTTAATAACATTTGGTAAGGAGTGGTCTAAATTAAACAAAGGACTAAGGAAGAAGACAAAAACTAATGCATACTGAAAGCATTTAGTGCCCAGCAAACTAGTTTACAATAGTAGTACAATCTCATGAATGAAAAAAGTGCAGAAACAATAATCATCAAATACCCTGGGTAACCATAAACACCATAAAATGTAAAGAAAGAGTAAGCATTCCAAGGAAAAAAATTAAAACTACAAAAAAAGAAACATTTGCAACCTCAGGAACTAAACATAGTCAAAAGCTCCCAAAACGATCCGTGGGTGAAAACAAAAGGTGAACCACTGAAACAAGATCAATGATATGAAATGTAGATGGAACAGAGAAAACTCAAACAAAAAGTTGATTAATCCAAGATTTTTATCAAAGTCACTGATAAATTTGAATTGTAATAGAACATTAGAATGTTGACATGAACAAGTACGTTACTGAGTATTTGTTGGAAAAATACAGCTAGGGTAAAACCACATGAATCTACAGAAAGAATAGATGGAAGAAAACAATACACTAAACTAAAGAAAAATGTGAATAAGGTGATGAAAAAACCTAAACAAACAGCTAAGGCAGTTCTTTCAGTATTATTTAAGCTCTTAATGAAAAAATAAATAAGAACTATAAGCCAAGTCAACTTCAATTTTTCATATTACAAATCATCAGGCTCAGAATTCGTAAAAGAATGACAAACAGTTTTAATGAACCCAATTAAGTGTATTCAGAAGAACAGATCTTCTGGTGCAACCATCTAAAGAAAAAAAAGGCCAAAGGTAGAAAAAAAATGATTTGTATAATAGAAATTTGGGATGGCCATGTCAGTACAAACAAATTGTGAACACTTAAAGAATCTAAAGCTTGGAAGATAGGGGTAAAAACAGCTTTATGAAAGAGAAGATTACTGGCCAAAAGATCAAGAACTAAGGAATCTAAATTCCACAAAAAAGCAAACGTATGAGATGAGAAAAATCAACAAGGGAAGCTACAGCCATCCACATATATCACTGGGAAATAGTGGAAAACAAACTTGTAGCACTGTAACCTACAGAACTCCAAAAGAGAATTTAAGCTTACCAACCTCAGTAGGTCATACAATATATCTAAACATCCAGGTGTCTGTAGAAGTCTAACCCTATATTATTAAAAAAAATGAAAGAAAAAGAAGACAAAGATTAAATGGACTAAATGGAAAAGGAGTGGCATGAGTCTAAAACTGGATATGAAAACCAATGTCGATGGGCTGCAACAAAGAAATTCCATAACAATTAGAATATTAAATAATGTGAAGGAGATGTCATAAGATTTTTCACACAGATGGCAGCACATTAGAAAAAAAAAGGGAAAAGGATAAGAATGACAGATTATCAAACTATTAAGATTAATGAGATCTTGAATTACCTAAGCTTCTTCTGTTTTCACTAACTTTATACTTTTATTTGAGTGACATACAAGTGTTTTAGTTTTGATTGTTTCTACTGACTTTAGTTATTGTGTTTAACATTAAGAGTTAACTTAACTTTGGCATTTTTTTTCTTGTATGATATGAAACTAAATTAGTTTTAAAGGTTTTATGAACTCTACATGCTTGTATAACATCTGAGAATAGCTTAACCCTGACTACTTTTTACTAGCTACAAATTTATCTTGTCAGATAATGTGATTACTGTCTGTTATGTTTGATTCCTGGAAATTCTGTACTTGTATAGCAACTAGAAAAACTTATTCACTGATTTGGTTAACATTAAATTGGTCATTTTTGTGATTATAAAAATTTATCAACTCCTGTTAAATCATGGTTGAAATTATATTTATTAAAATAATATACCAATTAATTTTCCCCCATTTATTTTATTAATTTGTTATATTTTAAGATTGTGCAAATTTACCAAAGCGATCTTCTATCTGCTTCAAAAGGGCAATTGTTCGTGGGCCATCAACCATGTTGATCGCAAGACCAACTTTTCCAAAACGTCCCGTTCTGCCAATTCTGTGAAGATACGTCTCACAGTCAGCCCTTCCTTTCTGGTCAACAGGAAGGTCAAAGTTGACCACCACAGTCACCTGTTCTACATCAATACCTGGGTGACAGAAGACACAGAGTTGAGATGTAAAAAAATATTCAACTTAAACATCAACATAAAACCACACTAAACACATATGCAAGCTGTAGTTAGCCTCTAAACTAATACTGCGTATTTTCAACTTTTACAAAATAACATATCAATTTTTTTATAATAACAACTATAAGAAATGTTATCCCACTTGCTGTGGCAATTAGATAAAAGCTTATAAATGTATTTGTAAAATTTCTGTCAATCCCTTTTATTTGGCTATTGACAAATGACATTTAGAGCTATTTTGTTGTTAATGAGGTGTTGACTCATAATTTAAAAGTTATACTTTTAATACCACAGTTGCTAACAATACTTCCCCCTAATATTTTTTTTTTGGTTTGGCAGCTTCCAAGCTATCATTTCTGTTCATGCATATTAAAGTAATTACAAATTTTAGTCTAATAAAATTTTTGTTTAAACAAAACTCTGAAGTAATCAACGACCAAACTTTAGCTAGTTTAAAAAATATAAAAATGTGTACATCTTTATATTATTCTATAACTTATTTACACGCATCCTCCTAATATATTATATATATATAATTTACTGCACTCATTTACAGTATATAATATGATTCACTTTCAACAATGTATGCTGTGACACTAGAATATCAACTCAGTAAGTAGGGCATCTTTTTGAAGCAGAATTCAGCTCTGAAAAAACTAACTGTAATGCATCACCCTCTAAACAATGGTGTTTGTTGTATGTGTGAAAATACCTGAATATAAAATTCATATCACATAACAACAAATGAGCTAGATCTGATGATAATAGGAGTAATATTGAAGTTATTATAGTTGTCATCATTACAGGCAGACCATGAAGCTGATGTAAACAGGGAAGGCGATAGCTTCATTAAAATCCATATTACTATTTTTATTGTATTTACTACAGTATGTAATCATATTGATGCAATAATTATAAGGTCTTTAGAAAAAACCACCAATTTCTTTATAAAGAGAGAAACACTATTACATTTTGTGACCCTATTCTTGATAATGTTTTTGTTATCATGAAGCAGAAAGATATCCACATAATGGATACTGTCAGCAGGTGTTATGATAAGAACAATTTCAACTCAAGATAGATAGTTTCTTAGACTCCAAAACAAACTGTGTGTGAAACCAAAGGTGATCTACTGAAACTGGACCAATGATAACAACTACAAAATTTGGATAGAACAGAGAAAACATTTTATTTATAATCCTAAATTTAAATATTTCATGGTTGTTATAAAATTATTATGTAAATAATTGTTACTTATAAACAGCCAAACATTTCTTTAAATTGTGATCAAAAATAGATAACCTATCAGCAAATTCTATGGTGTCCTCACCTCTGGCACAAACATTGGTAGTAATCAGGACTTTTTCTTTGCCATCTCTAAATCTGTTCAAGACAGCTATTCTTTGGTCAACTTGCAAATCTCCAGAAAGTAAAGCTACAGCATGCCCTTCTGTGGCAAGCTTCTCTGATAACCAGGATGCTGTTCTTCTTGTCTATATGAATCACCAAGTTTAGACTTAATTCCAGCATTGCAAATACTAACACCCTATCATATTACTTTGACACAAAGCATAACGTACGGGTCAATGTTGTAAACACTGCATGAAATATGACTGTCAGTGTTTTAACATAAAATAAAATACAATGATCTTGTATGGTAATACTGAGTAACACAGTAGGTGTACAAGCTATAACTATGATTACTTAAACCTAACATTATGGATAGACCTAAATGGATATATTTGTTCATGCATTTTCTAACTTACTATTTTCTTCTTAGATTTATGCATTTGTTTCAGGTTTTGTTTTACTGATGCTTGGCTTTGCATTGTATAATGGAACTTATAACTAACTGAAAGAAGTCATGCAGTTCGTAAACTCAAGCAATTACAGAAATTACAGGAGTTTAAACACCTTATTCAATGAAGTTAATCAACTTTTTTTTTGTTTAGATTTAATAAACTCACCATGCAACCAGTAAACACTGTGTTTAAGTATATAAAAAGAAACTCTAGTACTTAAAAAAAGGAATTTAACACAAATCATAAAATGTTTGTTTTAATGAAATTAGAATACCAGGCTGACCTTTTATGCACAAGTAAAAAATTATTTCAGTTTCTTTCAATATACTAATTTTTTTATCTTGGCTTTTCCACTTCATAAATAACATTTGCATTTTTAATAGACTGACTAAAAAAATGAATCTAATCAGTGACAGATACACAAAGAAAACTTTTTCAACTGTATATTCAATAAAGAAATCTATTCAAAAGAAATTTAACAAATATCCAATCAGAAATAACTTGTAAAGCAAACATTTTCTCTTCAATATTTATCATAGTAATATTAAATGCATTTGAAAATAGTTTAATACAAATGATTAAAAAGTTGATTTAAATATTAAAACATTCTTTACTATTAAAACTTGTGCACCTGAGAATAATTGGACTAGTGATTGAAACATTGTACCTGTTCTGAAAAGAAATCTTACTTACTGTAAAAGCTCTAAGTTGTACTAAGATATACTTAATCAGTAAGTAAACTTAAAACAAAACTGTTATTTAGTATGTTCAGCAATACTTTTAGTTTTCTTGCTTCTATAATTTGTTTTTGGCTTCAACATTTTATTATAAACGTCATTTACGTTTACAACTTTGCTTTCTGGTATGGCAACAGTGTTTGGAACAACTTATGTCTGTGAGCAAACATTTTCAAAAATGAAGTATGTGAAGTCAGCACATCGAACGATGTTGACTGATGAACATTTGAAAGCAATTCTCTTGGTTGGATGCAGCAATTCCAAAGCAAATATTGATGATATCTGAAAAGCTAAACGCCAGTTTCACAGATCTCACTAACCTTTTTTTGCTGCTTAGTTTGTAAGATTCGGATATGTGCGCACTGGGTGTGATATAACTATTTTATTGCTAACGTCGCCTTCTTTGATAACTTTTTGGTAAATAAACATGTTTGTTGTCTTTATTTTTTGTGTATTCACTGTATTGTATTGAACAAAATGGTTATGCAGCCCGCGCTCGTCATTCTCTCAGTTATCTGGCCCGCTGTGAAAAAAGTTTGGTGACCCCTGCTCTAATGTATTAAACGTTAGGCCTATCTCTTGTACGGTAGTTAACTTCACGCCGAACTTTTCTTGCCTGTAGCTTTACTCTCTTCTCCTATTGTCTGTCTGTTGCTTCTGCTCGTCTTACACTATTGATATGTGTATCACTTAATCGTCTGCCCGCCTTCTATATTCTCGACGTCAATGTGTTGCATGCGATGTTCGATAGTCTCAATATCAATGACTTATAAACACAACTTCCTACAATCGTCTGCTTTTAACTCTTATTATAACAAAACTAAACAATGATAACAGCTTCTTCAGGAGCGTTCATTAATTTTAAACACAAACCGAAACTGACAGTACAAAGCTTCAAATGGTTTAAATAATATATTCTATTCGGATCTATAACGTGCATTTGTACAGAGCGCTTTTGACATATTTAGTAGTAAAGCACATTGTTGAAAGAAAAGTATTGTTGAAATAATTAACTGCTTCCTGTAGTAAACAAACGTTCTATCAAGGTTACAGATTGAAATAACAAAAAAATTGGATAAAAACAAAACAATTAAATTATAGGCGCCATCCTTTGTCTCTATTCATTTGTGGTCGTTGTTGTGCCATGAGAAGAGCTTCTTTGAATTTTCTGTCAGTGTACTTGGTGGCTTTGGTAATGACTTGTTCGGTTTGTTTGGAATTAAGCACAGTGGGCTATCTGTCCTCTTCCCACCATGGGTATAGAAACCAGGTTTCTAGCGTTGTAAGTCCGTAGACATTTTTCTGTCAGTGTACTTGGTGGCTTTGGTAAGGACTTCTTCGGTTTGTTTGTTTGGAATTAAGCACAAAGCTACACAATGGACTATCTGTGCTCTGACCACCACGGGTATCGAAACCCGGTTTCTAGCGTTTTAAGTTCGCTAACATATCGCTGTGCCACTGAGGGACGACTTGTTCGGAGAATGGTGGTTTCAAGTCAGGTGTTACTTGTTGATGATTAGTTAAAAAATGATCTTCAATTTTTATGTTGTTGTTTATAAAGAGCGTCTTTACGTTCTCCTTTCCTTGTGTAGAGGGTTCTTCCGGTTTCTCCTATGTACGTATGATGGCTGTAGAATAGAATATGATTTATTATTTAAACCATTTGAAGCTTTGCACCGTCAATTGCGGTTTGTTTTTTAGTGAATAAAGGTCGTTTATTTCTAGTATCAATATGTCTTCTATACACCAATATGCATTACATAAATTAAATAATGGTTACAAACCGTTAATATCTAGCAAGTATAATTTACAGTTCACTTACACGAAAAGATGTTCCTGATTTTAAATTCAAATACACAAACACCGATAACTTTATTAAGCCTAATATCAAGTTGAATCATCTTTCGCAACAACAATAACAATTTGGACTCATGTGACACAGATTGTAAGAAATACTTGATGGTGTCTCGCTCACTAGTAGCCCATTTTCCAAAGAGTATGGACAGATATCAGCTCACAGATTCTGGAAGAGGAATATGATGACAAGTGGGACTTTTGAACTTAGCCTAAAGTTATTTACAGGGATTGAACAGCCTGTCACAGAAATGGTCTTTAACAATGAAACTCCTCCTAGAGGAACATGTATTATAATCATCATCTAAGCCTTTCACACTGTCCTGTATACTAACTGTAATTAATATTATTGTATTTTCGCATTTGAAAACTCAAGCTATCAATTGACATATCACACAGTTTCTCTGGCACATCCATTTACTTATTGCATCACGGTATGCTATTAAAGAAGTTCGGCATAATTTAAAGACTAGTATTAATGAAGAGTAAGAATTCGATTATGTTATGAATAACTTTCACTCTTTGTTCAAAGTAAAAAAATATTATTAAAAAACTCAATAATAAGCAGGAATTAAGGCGTATTAAAAACCCATGTAGGAGGGACTATCCGTTTTATTTCTTATAGTAAACACAAATTATTTTTTTAATAAACTTGGAAAACTTTAAAGATCTATACTTCCCAATACTTTCTGGAGAAAAAAAAAGTCCATTCATTCCAAAGTTTTGCATGTTTTACAAAAGATAACTGTATACAAAAGGCAGCCATTATAAATAAATGTTTTACAAACATAAATTTATTTAAAAAAATATGCTCTCCGGTTGCACAGCAGTATGTCTGCGGACTTATACCGCTAGAAACCTGGTTTTGATACCCTTGGTGGGATAGCCCCTTTGAGCTTAATATATGCAACTTTATCAACAGTATTACACATACTATGATAATTTAGAAACAGTTCAATTAGTTATGTAAAGCCAGTGTCATGTGTACTAGTAAGTTGTTGATTTACGACTTTGCATACACCTAGTTAGAACAATTTATTAAATTAGCCGTATTAAATACTGACGTAATTTTTAGTTTTGATCTATGTAGGTAACTTGCTTTGATCAGAAGTTAATGATACCTACATTAAAAAATAATAATATTTGCACGTGTGTAGTATTCTCGGGAGTATGTTTTAGCATGGAATTAGCTGGAAAGTTTTACGTGGAATTCCACATATTCATTGAAATATTGGGATTAATTATTCAACGTTGTCCATACAATATTTCTAAGAGAATCTTTATCATCACACCTAACCCATACAATTAAGCTGGCCTATATTTCTTTGTTAGTCTTTTCCATCGGTTAGAAACTGTCATGTACAAGCAATAAAATAAAAACGCATGACAATCATATTTACGTGATACTTGTGTATGCATTTAACAAAATTATTACGTGCCATAAGATCGTTCACCTTATTCACTTCTTAGAAATAAGATGGTAAAGACTTGGTGTAAGAAATTTGATATAGTGTTTGAAAGTCTTGTGTTGCTATGACTAAAATTTAATCTGATGTTAACAAGACTGAAAGAATACACGACAAAATGATTTAGGATCTTACAGAAGTATATGAACTTTTTATGATGCACGTAATGCATGTTTTATTTTCAAACTGTATTTATAACTGTTGGAAAGTTACTATTTCGTGACATCTTTTAAGTTAGTAAGTAAACTATATTACCTGAAAAGGATGTACAAAGTGAAATATCGGATGAGGTTATTATTTGTAACTGGAAACTAAAGATTACGGATTTAGGCTTTAACTACAATAACGAAGTAACTTTATATTAAGAAATCCCTAACACTATACACAATCTAAAACAGGGTATATAATAACAACTTCTGATCAGAGTAAGCTGTGTACTTTTAGTGAAACTCAAAATAAAACTGACCATCAGTATAGCTAATTAAATATACTTTTCTACTTCTCAATGCATTGTTTCATCAGTTGGGTTCTCTCACTCTTAATGATAGTTTCAGCCATAATATTTCACGAGGTTCCCCCAGCTTAAAATATTTAGGTGAGCCTTAATACATGTCTTAAGCTAATAATGCAAAAC